TCCGTCATCAGAGGCCCCCAATTGAATTTGAACCCCAGAACCCCCCAACCCCAGTACCTATAAATATATTATTAAGCGAGATCCCCTTACGAAGTGAGACTCATCTCACTCGAACGCGGGGGATGATTTTGTGCCCATTAGGGAATGGGGATGAGCTCCATCAGGCAGACCCGATCGGCGGATCGGTTGAAATTAAGTTTCATGCTGGGTGGAGCCAATACGCTAGGATACACTCAGAGGAGCCTTTTCCTCGAGCCGTTTATAGCTACTGGCATCGACGCCTCGTTCCGTTAGCGCTCAATGCGATCACATCATTAAATGATGTCACTCTCGGGCAAGGAAATACCAGTGGAACTTAGTGAACTATGAGAGCACCATACAGATCAGCACCAATGTGACATCATGGGACGTCAGGTGGAAGCCTCAGCAGAGCCAGTAGAGCCGCTCAGAAAAAAGACGAACCTAGAGACCCGGAGTTCCGTAGTTTAGAGGCCTAACTGGGATGCAAGCCGGCCAAATCTGCCCGACAAGACCCGCGGGTTGAATCCGCAAATCTCGGTTCGGCGATAGAATTTCGGGTCGAGTAGACAGGTAGGACCACGACTCAAATCGGGCCGATCGGGTCGGATTCGGAAGAGTCGACCCGTTCAGACCTCCGGCGGATGGACGGAAGGGATATACATGTACCTTTTGGGATGCAGAGTTCAGAAAAATTCCGACTTTGGAGATACATGACCTGGGGGCACCCATTTTGAAGGGAGATGTTTTCAATTATATATATTTGCTTGTCAAACGGAGAGACATGGCAAGGTGAAACTTGGCATGGACGTGCATACTGAGACACTCGGTTCGTGAAAAATGTCAATTTTCAGACGCATGGCCTGGAGGTATATTTTTTGGAGGTGAGGTTAACATTTTTTTCTCCTGCCAAATTGTACAGAGATGGAAAGCTGAAACTTGACATGGACGTTATTACGTTATTACATTATTAGACATTACTGAGACTCTGAGTCAAGGAAAAATGCAAAGATTCAGATGCATACCATGGGGGCATATTTATGGAGGGGGTCACATTTTCCAAAAAATTTTCCAAACCTTTTTTATTCTACGGTGTTAAGAAGAAATAAAAAACTTAAAATTGACACACTGTTAACTGAGGAGATGTTGAGTTCAGAAATAATCAGAGTTTGTGGTGCATGCCCTAAGGGCACAGCTATTGGCTGCGTCTGTTTTTCGAAAGATTTTTTTGTGCCAGCAAAAAAAGCAAACGGGTAAGAGTGAACCTTGGCAAGGGCATACTTCTCCCAGTGCTGATTTCGGTAAAAAAATTTAATTCTTCAAGGAAAACTCCTCGAATAATATTTTTGCAAAAGACGCATTTTCCAGAATCCTTTCTGATTCAATGAAGGAGAGATCTAAAGAAACTTGAAATTTCAAATAATCGGAGTAACGATATTAGGGAAAATATCAGTTAGCTCTCTCTCAGCACCCATTTTGACAGGCCCGAACTTTTAAGACGTTTTAGCTACCTTGAAAAGAAGTTAAAGGTTGAATCACCAACCTGGACGATGGAGCGCAGGTATATGCCTTCAGGGCGTAATGATGCAGGGTGACGCTCTAAAATAATTTATTTTACTTCAGCCAAAGCAAAGACGTAGAAAGTTGAAAATGGACGTGAAAGTGCCTATTGATGTGCTGATTTAAAAAAAAAATTCAATTTTCAGATGAATGCCTTGGGGGCACATTTTTCCATGGAAAATTTTTTTTTCCAAAGGGAAATTGATGAATAGGGGAAAATGAGTATGAACGTGGTTTGTGAAATGCTAATTTAAAGAAAATTTTCAATTTGGAGATGTATCTCCTGGGGGGCACTATACAGGGTGTTAAGAAAGTTGTGTCCCACTGCAATATGCCAATAACCTCAGCAAAAATTAAAAAATCAGGAAATTTGTTAAATACACAATAACATGGACAGTTAACTGATTTAGAATCACTTAATAGTTTTAAATATAGCCGCCCTTGGCACGGATGACAAGGTTCAGACTCCCCATGAAAGCATTGACTGATTTTCGCCAGACTTCCTGTGGAATTCGCTCCTATTCTTGGTTTTGGGATAGCTTGAGAGAATCCAAAGAACAGTGCTTTGTAGCACACACTTAGCTCTCCAAGATGGACCAAATTGGAAAATTTAGGGTGTTCACATTGGGGTAATAAGGGGGCCATTGTGAAATCGAAATGAAGTCGGGGACATTCGTCCACAGTCACTCCTGGGTCATCCGTGCCTTGTGAACTGGCCGTGAGTCCTGCTGGAGTCTTCCATCGAAATATTTTGTGGCTCACGGAACCAGGCAGTCTTCCAGGATGCTTTTCCAGTAAACATCAGCGTTGACCTTCATCTTCTCAGGCTCGAAGACGAGCGGAGTGCGGTAATCCTGGCTCAGACCATTACAGAAGCTGCCCCTTGATGCTGAGTGGCTTGAAAAAATCAGATTTCGATATTTCAATATAATCCATCTTGGAGAGCAAAAAATAAGCTACAAAACGCCATTCTTTGGATTCTCTCAAGCTATCCCTGAATGGGGAGAGAATTCCACAGGAAGTCTTGCGAAAATCAGTCGATGCTTTCATGGGTCATCTGAACCTTGTCATTTGCACCAAGGGTGGCTATATTCAAAACTATTAAGTGATTCTAAATCAGTTAACTGTCCTTTTTGTTGTGTATAAAAAAATTTCCTGATTTTCAAATTTTTGCTGAGGTTATAGGCATATTGTGATGGGACAACTTTCTTAACACCCTGTATTTGTGTGGGGGATGTTCTTGGAAAAATTTTGCTTCAGGGAAACGGATTTTCGTGTAGGACTGGGAATAACGAATTCAAAGAAAATCTTCATTTTTTGTATGCACACTAGGGCATATATTTTGGTTGCAAGACGCTCTCAGAACTTTTTGTCACCATACCAGTGGTTATTTGCTAAGGGGGGAGAATGAGAAAACTCAGAAGCACAATTTCTCTCAGAGAAAGGTGGTTCTTAGAGTCTTGTTATAGAATAAGCTGTATTGAGCATGAACTCCAAAGTGACAGTTCTGGGGCTATGAAGTATGTTTGATTCATTTTCCTAACATCAGATTGAAAATCACGTCACACAAGCAGGAGTAGCTTAAACTCACGACCCAAGGAGTTTTACCCGATTTGTAGTTTGAAATCGAAAAAGAATACTTCAAATGTATTATTATTAACTAGCCGCCCGTGGATGACTTCCACGAACTTAGGGTCGGTCTAGGCCAGAGGTGTCAAACTGCCGCCCCACTAGTTGATTTCGTCCGTTATGCAAAGTCCTCTTCAACAGTTGGCTTTGGAAAAGCGTAGCCTTTTTAACCTGTTAGCAATTGTAACTTTGGTGTAAGCATTGGTAATATGGACCCAATCACCCCTGAAGGGTTCCATACAACCGCCAGCTTAATCAAGTTTGGCATCTCTGGCTTAGGCTAAGCGTGTAACAGGGCCGCCGAAAGGAATTCTGAGGCCTGGCAATATCACGTAAGGGCCCCCTTTTCACTTTACCCCTCCTCCCGCTTTAAACAAACTTCGTGAATTCTTCGTTGCTAACGAAAGCTATGCTATTACTGAAAAAAATAGCACAAATGTCATCTGGCATGCTCCCCTTATATGGGACTTTGAGCAAATTGCCCCTTTTGCCCCCCCAATGGTCTTGAGTATAGTCGGGAATCCAAGACTTCAGTCAGACCCTTTGATCAAGGTTATATGATGATGGTTATAATTAGCGTCAGTCAGTCATTCACGATTGTCTATATATATTAGAAAAATAGTATTTTTTCTTTACTGAGCTATCAGGTACTTCTTTGCCAAGTTTAAACTTTCATGCGCCCTCTGTTTTTCTGGATCAGACAAATTGTGAAAATACGCCTTTTGCAAGATATGTGCCCTAAGCCGTTTTAAGCGAAAAGTACAATTATTTTTCTACCGAAATCCATGCTCAGTGAACCACATGCCCACAAAGTTTCAATATTATACGTTTGCCCTTTTCGCTGGTGAAAAAACAATTTTGGAAAAGCTGACCAACCCAAAAGCTATGCCCGGAGGGGATGAGCCATGAAAGCTGAATACTCCCTCAGGTCAATAATATCTTGTCACTTATACGTGTGCCAAGTTTCACTTTTGCATTTCTGTCCAATTCACCACGACAATTTTTTTTTTCAAAACATCGCCCCTCGAAAAAATTCCCCTAGGGGATGTATCGAGACCTAACGTTTTTATTTAACTCTTTGTCTCAATAGTCTCACTCACGCAAAGTTTCAGCTTTCCATGTTCATCAGTTTAACTGATGCAATAAAAAAATTCTTTGAAAACATCTCCCTTTGAAATGTGTGCCCCCGGGGCATTTACTTCCAAACTCTGAATTGTTATGCATGCAGCACCCCAATAGATAGTTATGCATCAAGTTTCATCTTTCCACACTCTCTCAATATGCCTTGACAAAAAAATACTTGGAAACGTCCGCCGCAAAAAATATCCACCCAGGGCATGAATCTAAAATTTTGCACTTTTTCTGAACTCATCGTCTCAGTAGGCACGTCCATGCCAGGTTTCAGCTTTCCATGCCTCTCCGTTTTACTCAAGCAAAAATAATATTATATAGGGGGAATTAGTAACTGGACATAGAAGGCAAAAGGAGCCAACAGAAAGTCAAGGGATGGCCGGGAATTGAACCCGGACTTCCAGATTGAAGGTCAGTTGTGCTATCACTTTTCCCCCCAAAATGTGTATCCCCAGGGTATGTACTTCTAAAGTCGGATTTTTTCTGATCTCTGCATTGCAAAAGGTATATATGTACCAAGTTTCAGATTTCTAACCTTTCTTGAACATGGCTAGAATTAGCGTCCGTCAGTCAGTCAGTCAGTCACGATCGTCTATATATAAAATATTAGATTTAATAAGTAATCAGATTTAAAGGACCTCGTCAACCTGTTTTGGGAAACGATGGGTCAGTTGGGTTAAGAAAGGATCCCTGCTTTTGATCACGATTATTTTCTAATCCAACTGCTTCATCATATCCCAAAGTAGACTGACTCTCTCGCTCGTTCGGCCAAATATAAAAGGAATGTGGCTCGCTTGAAGTGACTTTTTCCTGCTTTCTTTGAGTTGAAGGTAAATAGCAAAAACGCAAAATCACTGCGTTAAAAAGATTGACGGTTGACGTTTTCTTTGGGTCATATGTCATGTGGATCGAAAGTAGGGGAGGCTGCCGCGACTGGACGAAAAGAAAGGGCATGAGCCTGTCTAGAACTGGGGCCTCCTGTCTCTCATTACAGTGCGCTACCATTACACCACCGCACCCATGTCATATCGTTTCGCCTATCACCACACATAAGGGTTTCTGTTCCAACGAAAACGGGTAGTCTTGCCCTCCTTTCAACGCGACTGCAGATTAAAATTGCTACTTCCTTTCTCATCTTTCGCAGATAAAATATGCACCAACACAATACTTATCAAGAGCTTGCCATTCATATGTCACATGCACCATTCGACTGGTTGGAAGTCCTCTTTCCTCATGGAAAGTTGTTAATTAGTAGTAGGAAAAATCCAATTAGCAATCGAATATAAAGGGCACCGTTGAGATCGAAGAGAGTGCTTAGTCCGATCACTAGAGCACTAAAATGGTATCATCAAGGAAATAAAGTAATTAACTTTAAAATTAATTAATCAATCAACACTTTATATATTTGTACAAGGTTTTAGACCATGACAATCGATATGAGACCACTCTAACCTTCACACGATTTCTCCTTCATGGTTAGGTGATTCGGTAAACTGCGTTTTACAGTATATATGTGGATTCGCCAAAGACAATGGAATTTGCAAATTTTTTGGCAACTTTGAATTTTATTAATACACCCCTCTGGACTCAACTCATCCCATTCTACAGCAATCGTGAAGATCCCATACTGATGATTTAAAGTTTTAACTCTGGTCAAGTGGAGATGGTATGGTGCTTTCTCCGCCAATTTGCGCCTTTTCTTTCCTAGGAAATCCTGGGGAACCGCCATTGATAGAGTATTCCGGATTGAATTTTGACTACTTGGAGTTCCTGGAACAGCGAGGAGTGGAGTGGGAGCCAAAGGTTGGACATCCAATTGCCCTGAACATTCAGAGTAGTGGGATAGGACTCGTTGAGTCTCTTTCCATTGCTCTCACAGGATCTCTCCTGCATCTACCACTCCTCAGGGTGAGTCTTGACTCATTTTTCTCCTCGAAATTTCCTTCTATTTTCAAGAAAGGAGCCGCGTATTTTATTGAGAAAGCGTGAGAGATGTACATGTGATCCTAAGGCAATGGATGTAAACCTGTGTTTCATGGCACTTCGTCCCACCTCGAGATGCTGAGAGGCTTCCTGAATGGATTTGTAAGCCATTTTATACCTTTTCCCTAAAGAGGGTAAGAATATGAGGATATAGAAATTGCCCTCTTCCCTAAATTAAAATATGGTTCTCTGAGTATTACTGCTTGTTTGAAAGTAGCCCACCTTTTCATACAATCAGTCTTTCCTGAGTAGAGGGCACAAAAGTCTACACCCAGTTGAAGAGAGAAAATTCCCAGAGACATGCACGACATTGTAGGAATGGTTTCAATAAGACCTTCGTCAAAAACGTTTTTCTTCTCGAATGGAGACTTCCCTAATTTTCAGGCAAATTGTTACTCGGGAGTGAGCAATGAAGAAGGTACATTTTCCATAAATCCTAAATTGAGTGCCCCTCTGAACAGACATGACAAAGGAACACAGACATAGAGAGGGAATGCACCCCTCCTGCACGTCATACTAGAACATTAATTTGTGTTGCTCCATCCAGACCGCAGCTACCGTCGTAGTCAAAATGTTTGCATTACTTTGAGGTTCCCATTTCATTGCAAAAGTCATTCCGAGTGGGACAAAAAAGGCTCCGCTTTTATAGATTCTTCGTTCATATGATAGCAGAGAGCATGGCAAACATTGCTTACAACCACGTATCCTTTAAAAGTCCTACAATTACTGTCCTTATTTCTCCAGCCCAGGAGCAAGAAAGCAAAGGCAATTCGAATTTAGTTTTTGGAAGATGAAACAGAGCGGCTGAAAAGTAGTTGGTAAGTGTGGAGACACCAATCTTGGGGCAGACCTCTTCCATCTGCTCCTAAAAACGGAACTCTTTCCTAAGGCATGGAAGGAGCCGAATGTAGCCAAAGGAGGATACTAACTTTCTATTAGACCGCTGCCCCCCGTGTTACAAACCAAAACTGGTGTCAATCGATAGATCTTCATGAGTAGATCGAAATTGTCAATGTGCACAAATCTGTCGGAGAGTGCGATAATTGAGTTGTAGGTCTTCAAAGTTCAAGTTCCTTTAATTATTTTGCAACGTTGTCAATCCTTTAATGCATGATTTTTTATTTTCGACGAAAAAAAGATGGTTGGTTTCACTCACATCCTAAATCAATTGGAAAATTTTCTTTAAAATCAAATTTGTAAGCAGTTGGCCCGAAAGTGTTATCGTTACTCAAATGCTACTAACAGCATTTTTAACCCATGCTGCATGGATGCTAGAGAGCTCAGTCGATCTGTCTAGGTTAGTGCATACCTCAACACAAAAAAACGGACGAGCCTGGACCCTGGATTAACGTAAAGTTTAGGGAAATTAAATTTAAAAAGTGAAAAACGTCAATCTGTCATACGATGAAGCCAGATTGGTTTTCGTTTGATTGTCACACGGAGTGTATGGCACCTAGCGACCGCCTAGTTGCTAGGTATCAGGACCGGACTCCCTAGTAGCACATAGCATTGAAACAACATTTTAATTTGTTCATTTGTAAGCGTTGCAAAAGATTTAGAGCGACTGAAGTTTTGAACTTCGATGACTTATAACTCAATCATCGTACTCTCTGACAGATTTGTGCCAATCGAGAACTTTGATCGACTCATCTATCGATTAACACCTGTTTTGGTTTGTAACGTGGGGGCGGTTTTTGGCATTCTTTTAAGGTGAAGGATGAAATAAAATATAGCCATATCGTGTAGAAATTGATTCACAAATTGTGAGAAACCGGTTCATATCAGCGGAAGGGTTGGAGCAGAAATCTACTGCGGAAATGAGTTATACTGCGCTCATGGGAAGGAAGTCATTGTTTCTCAATATTTTGGAAAGCACAATTCCCATCTGCAAATTGCCAGACGTAAGAAAGAGTTAGACATTTGTTAAGCGGATTCTGAAGTGCAGAGGAAAAAACACTCGAAAATAATTGACATTTCTAGTGAGTGGGCAGGTCCTTCCGTCAGTGTCGAGGTGGGAGTGCAAAAATAAAATTCCAGTTGCTTTTGTTAAATCACTCGTGCGCTAAAACAGTTCAAGATAAGCTTGCCAACATTTTCGCATACTCGAATTATGCATAGAGGTGTATATTACGCCAAACTCATTGTTGAAGCTGTTGTTTCAGAGGCACCACACATTTTCTAAGCCCAGCGCAGCTTTTTTTGTCTCACCCAGAATGTTGCCAGTTCGATTTGTGCATATTTGACTTCAAAGAGGCTTATATTTAAATACATTCAAGAGTAAAGTCGCGGATAGTTCTTCATGCGCTTACTGCCATAGTCTACATTTAACCCTTTCACACATGGTGTCCACTATTGTAGACAGCAAAATTTCTGGCAAGGATGATGGTTTTTTAGCCATGATGGACATACCTCGAAACCTTTGGTGTATGAAGTTAACTCAAGTGCATGTAATCTCTTCAGTGTTGTTTTCCAGTGGTGAAACATGGGTCTACTATGGCAGAGTCCCTTCTTAAACGTTAAATTAAAAAAGGCATATTTTTATTTTGCTCGAAAAATGCATACCTGAAAGGGTTGAGCTATGCTGATCGATGCCGAAGTTTACCTTGAGTCATTGTCAAGTGTATCTTCCCTAGAATATTCTCGAGAAGGAGGATCAAGGAGACTTTCTTCGCTTAATCAAAAGGAGCGCGGAGATCCTCAGCAGACACATAGTTCTCCTTGGGGAAAAATGTTCTTGTGAGTCCCACCAATGTATCTATTAGTCTATCTTAGTGATGGGAGTGGTCATAGACCTATAAGATGTATAATCCAAAATTTATATAAAAATGTCCATTGAAACCATTAGGGAAGTATCAATATATTCTGAGATCCTCGTCTGGTAGGCATTCAAGGCTATGTAAATAGTGCTATATGGACTGAACGTATGCGCATGCCATATACATGTCCATGAGTTTGGTGCATCGGGTACGGGCGATATGTATTATTTGCCAGTAAATGAATAAAAATATATCTTCTAAAACATATGAAACACCATAGAAGTCGCCCGTACTACTTTAAATTTAAAACATATGGAACCTATTGCACCTTTGATAAAACTGCTCTCGAAAACCCACAATTTAAAAGAAAAACTATCAGGACAGTTCGGACAATTCTGTTCTTTGGATTCTGATCGATTGCCTACTTTTTTCCAGTAAGCGATGTCCTTGACATAGTCCACAAGAAAAAGTCCTCTTGGGTTAGTTCAGGTGATCTTGGTGGCCATGGAATGAACCTGCTTTGTCCAATTCACAGATCTGTTTTCTTTTCCATGCCTTAACCTGCTAAAATGTGGAGTTGCAACATCTTAGAAAATTAGACTTTTTTGTGCTGAACCGTTCCAGTTTGGATTTTTTAATACTATTATGGGGCTATGACAAGGACATTGTTAACTTTTCTTTAATAAGCACTCTTCATTCTGATTTGAAGAATAAAATCGATGAGCTATCCAAACAGTTATACGTGATGCGTAAGTTGTGATAAAGGCTTGAACATCGTTTGGACGTCAACAGAGCCATATATAGTGCCCGTGTGGAATTGCAATAACAGGTTGAAAAGGGTTTTTGTTGCACTTCATTTAACAGTCTCCATAAATTTATTTCAGGCATAATTTAGTGAGATCTTAAATTTTGAAATGTTTCAATACTTTTTAGGACACCCTGTATCGTATCGATATATAGATGATCGTGACGGAGCGACTGAATGACTGGCGCTAATTCTAACCATGTTATAGAGAGGCTTCAAATCTGAAATTTGGTACACAAGTATCTCTTGGTATGAAGAGTTCAGAAAAAATACGACTTCATAGGTACATTTTATTTATATATATGCACCCCTCAGCAGAGCAGTGGCAAACATGAGAATCTGGCTAAACGATCTACACTGATTAATTATTGATCTGTTCGTGCTTGTACGAGGTTTATTATGAAATGCCACCATATTTTGCGTTTTTCTGAATTAAAGCCACTTCTTCATGAACGTGTTTCTTGTTTTCCCACTCCGCTCATCCTTTCTGTGGCGCATATGGACAGAATATGAGAGCAAAAGGGTAAAAATTCATGTTGAAAGTGCTTGCTGATGCCAAAATAAGTTATGCCAAAGTGATCACTAAGCTAGTGTGATCCCATAGGATTGACTCTCTAGCGATTCTATGAGTTAATGCAGTATATATGCAATTTGCACGGGTGACATTGAATGATAAGGTATATCAGGATGAAGTGCAAAAGTTTACAGGGACCTTCCATTTTTTCAGACACATTCCTTCCAGAGGGTGGGAAAGATGGGGATGAGGAACTGCGTGGTATACTGCTTTTTGCCAAGGACGGCTCTCAACCCATTGCCCTCCTTCCTATCGTACCTTATCGCAGTGAGTCATCATTACCATAAATTGATCTTGCGGGAGAAGCATTTTCGAGATTTCGGTTTTAAAATGTATAATAACAAAGTGGCATTGTGAAGAAGAAAAATGCCGCCTATGGGCAATAAAATGTTGAGGGTGTGTGGCAGCTTCGGAGCAATGAGCAGTAACGATGTTAACATAATGATCTACTGCGAAAAGTATTTTTCTTCCACATAGTCACCTTTTAAGAATGGATCATTCCACGTTAAACCGACCGGCGAGTAAGCTCAACCATCTCGGATTTTGAAGCAAATCGGCATACACGTAGAGGAATCGATGTAAAGAGATTTATTTCGACCAAGTTATATATTTTCCATATATCTCCAGATATATGCAATTATTGCAACATAATTTTCGCTCCCAGCGCCCATACGAACTGGAATTGTGAAACTCTTTCTGCAATATATCCCCTCTACTTGAGATGAAAGCTTCATTGTGATGTTGCTTTAATCATGAGACTGCCGTCTTTAAATTGACACCAGACATTAATTCCTTTCGCTGAAAAAAATAAGATTCACTTGATCAAACAGTTTGATGAAGATCAGTGGTCAATATCGACCTTTGGCACCTTGTGAACTCCTCATTTTAATACTCCATTTAAAAAAGGGCATGGTATGCCATTCCTGACGATATAAAATTCGAGAGTGGTACTCAATGGCTTGACGAGATATGAACATGTTTGCGGGCCAGTCGGACCATATTCCCACTTGTTTGAACACTTTGGCCGACTTCATGAGTGCCTGAAAAAAACCAGTGGGTTCTGTGCCATTCAGAAAAAAAAGTGTCGGTGTTCGGTTTGGAAGATGCGCTATTAAATGCCACCGCCGCTCAGTGCCAGTAGCAGTCACGATAGTCACATCACAAAGGGGTAAGATAAGCCCTCTATTGCCAAAGTTTCTGTACTCGATACTAGTTTACAGTTCGTGGGAATCACCGATATGGAGTAACACGAGGTATTTTCCGAAGACATAAGTAATGAACATTTGAACCACTCCTTTCCTGAATTACCCATCTAAGTAATTTATTTATGAAATATTATAATGCAGGTAAGATGATCCAGTAGCGTTGAACCCAAAAATATAAATGTAAAGTCTTTCAACATATGAACAATGAACACCGATATTTGACATACGAGAGGGGATAAAAAATTTAATATCGCAATTGCATAGATACGTGATGGAACGCAGGTTTTGGTAATGCAGCATCTAAGCATAGTACCTTCCAATTTAATGCTCATTTTCCAACGATGTGGGATCTTCTGGAGGCCATTTCGAAACCACTGTGTCAGTGCGTTCTGCACCCACACTGGATGCCTTCTTATTGAGCTTCTCTGATGCCAAAGTGCCTAAAGCTGCAAAATAACCAATAACTGTAGGAGACGATATTATGGGAGTAGGGACGATGCTGGACTCTCTGTCCAGAGTCTGGATATTGCCTCTGTGGTTTACTTCCTTGTGAATGGGCGAGTGTTGTCATGCTGAAAGGACCTATGCAGGGTGTATCAGGTGGTTCATCCCAGTCTTAAAATATCGCACCATTTTTCTAAACTTTCTGGACAGGTAGTGAATGGTTACCACATATTACACGATGCTGGCGGTCACAGCACCTTTCTGATGCAGTATCCAAACAGTTCATCACTGTCTAAGCTGGTTTGCCTCCATACTCGTCCTTGCATGTCATCACCGCTTTGTCAATTCTCACAATGACAGGGAATTATAGTTCGTATCCGCAACGACCACAACATAGCAGCATATACCAAACCTTACCCTGAATATGGTTGGCAGTTCAGTAGTATATACTGCTGTGCCATGGCAAAGAAATAAACAATACTTTTCCACCGCACCTTGTATGTCAAATGTCGGTGTTCACAAGTTGAAAGACTTTAAATTTATATTTCTTATAGGCATGAACGCCGACAATCGACATATGCAACAGCCACATAACACTTTCTTACAGCCATATTTCACCATGAAGGAACACAACTCCATTCTTAAGTCGGGATCTTCTGAAATGTACATCAATGCATGCGTTACAACAACTAAATTGTTCCATTTGGAAATCCATAAACATGTCGAATATTGATATGTTATTGCTAAATGGAAGCATATAATAGAATTTGCAAATTTATAAGTGAAATTTGAGATACACTCAGGCCTGTTTTTTTAACCAAGATTCCCATAAATGTAATTTTAGTCATGTTTTTCATTTCGGAATTTGGGGAATTCAAAAGTAAAAAAAAAATATAGATGTGAAAATAGAGGTAACAACACGAGTAATATATCAATGGAAAGCGATTGAAGAACGCTTTCATTTGACACTAGTTTCTAAGTTTGGATTTCCTTTAAAACAGAAAATACCAACAGCCTAAGTTGGTGAATATAGGTAATACTAGACCCGTCCCGCGGGATCCGCTTCGCTGGTAAAGTTCCGACAGACATCAATAAATCGGGTCTAATTTGTAATTAGCAGTAAGAGAAAATAAATTATTAAAGGGATAACGTACGAATTTCAAAGTGCCACACTTTCCATTCCATAGGGATGCCTCACGTCATCAGGGAACCCTCAATTGGATGCATGCAAATTCTCCACCTTGTAGCATTCAAGTGAGGCACGTAGTTAAAGTTTCGATCACCCAGGCATTGGATAAAAGTGATGATTTTAAGCTAGGCACAGGATGCGGATGAAGTCAATTTGATCGATCTGACACGCAGATTTGGCGGGCATCTCGGTTGACAATCAAGTTTCTTGCTTGGTGCAGGCGAATACCCTATCAGATGGTCTTTTTCTCCATCCACTCATGGCTGGCGGAACGTTGTGACGTGGTGGAGTGGTCTACCAGCGAAATGTTGCAAGATATATATCACATGATAATACTGTATAAATATGTTACAGGGATATATGCTTCAGCCGAAAGAGTTGTGGTATGTGTATGTCATATTAATTTGCTCATGTAATGGTTATGTTTTACTTGGGCATTGAAGAAGCGGGATGTTCAGCGCCCCACCCAGGCCATTGTGTCTGTTGACTTTGATGTCTTTCCCAGGCATGCGCTTGGTACTCCAGTCAGATTTTCTTACGTCCTTCTGGTCTAGTCTTCGTAGTCTTTTTTTCCTCCAGTTCGGTCAAAGGCAAAAGAGTGAAAAATCAAGCTGTTTTTGGAAAATGATGGGTTAGTTGGGTTAGGAAAGGGTCGCAGCCTTTGGCCGCGATTACTTTCTGATCCAACTGCCCCATCCCAAATTTGATTGACTTTTTCTCTCGTTCGGCCAAAAATATAATGAATGAGGCTCACTTGATGTGCCTTCACCCTGTATTCTCTGAGGTTAGGTATATAGCAAAAACGCAAAATCACAGCGTGAAAAAGTTTTTCTTTGGGACAAATGTCATGAGGACCGAAAGTAGGTGATAGGAAGGGATTTGTGTGAGTGAGGCGGAAAAAATTCAGGGATTCACTGGGATTTGAACCCAGGCCTCCCATTTTTCGGTCCGTTGCGCTACCACCACACCACTGAACCCAACACAACTTTTATCTTTGCCTATCACTGGGAATAAGGGTTTATTTTCCAATGGGAAAGGGCATTGTTGCCATCCGTTCAATGTGACTACATATTAAAATTACTGCTTCTTTTCTCATCTTTCGCTGCTAAAATACGCACCATCGCAATCTACTCATCAAGAACTTGCGACTGATTTGTCACATGCACCATTCGACGGGTCGGAGGTCTTTCCCTTATGAACATTAATTAGCAGTAAGAAAAATGCAATTAACAATCATATGTAAGGGGCATCTTTGAGGCGATTCCCTTTTAACGATTAAGTATGAGGCGATTCCCACATCAAATGTTTCTTATGAATGCTCTGAATCTAGAATTCTTAATGCAACCCAATTTGCCATGTACCTTCTCCAAGTTATGTCCTACCAATATGCAAGAAAGGTCGCACATGCAAGATGTCTTTAGGTGAAAAGGCCGACGTTGAATCAATCTGGTCGCTGTGAGTAACATGACTCCGCTCTTTTTAATTCCTGCATTGCTTTCCCTTTAGAATGTTTGGTCTTAAATGGAGATTGCTCCGTCGACGTTTGGATACCTTGAAATACTAATCCATTGACGTGGCATCAGAGAAATTATTCGAGTACCCACTCAGATTTATTAAGGTATACTTACCAGGAACGTGCTTTATACAGCATTCTTTTTCCTCTCTCATTCTTCTCATTCCGTTGTTAGATGTTTCCCTGTGCCTTGCAAAAACGTTTTATCCTTCCACCTCCGAAGCGTAACGCCATCATGCCTTCCTAAGTAGCTATTTGACTATATTAGCGTCCGAAAGAAATCATACAAGGTAATTTAGGGCTCGTACACCTAATAGGATTTCCAATGACATGATATCTGCTTTTTGGTGTAATATCGCGTGGAAAGAATGAACGCATACACGCCAACCTTTAAGTGCTGTGTACGTGCCACGTCAGAAATATGCCTAATTATGTTAATCAATGTAAATTTCTGCTTTTCCGAGGTAAGAAACTCCCTTGTGTATGTCTTAACGTCACCGAAAACACAAGAGAAATTGATGTTAATTCTAAGAGAAGTGCAGTCGAAATCTGTTGCTATTTTATTCATTTTCCAAAATAGGAGAGCTGTCATCGACATGATAAGTTTTTAAGACATTACGTGAATTCCAGAGCTTCCCGGGAGGGGTCTGAAGAGTTGAAACCTGAATTTGCTTATATGTCATTTGAACAATTTTATGACTCTTGAAAAACAGTATGGGAGTTATTTTCTCGAAGTGTTGCCTGCATTTGTAATTTGGGACGCTAATTCAAAGAGACATGCTCGTCATGCCATCGACAGGAAATGCGAGAAGTGGGTCTAGTCTCTCAGGAAATATACAGGTACATGATCGACCTCTATGAAATCAAATGGAAGCTGTAAACCTGGTCCTTTTACTTCCAATGCCTGTGGTATTCGCCAACCCTCGCCATCACCATCGATTTTTTTTTCAGTGTGCTTGCATTGTGCTTGCATTTCCATGCATGCAGTCAGAAGCCTGCAAATGGGGGGAAAATATAACAAATAAAAAGTTATTTCCTGTTCTGTCTTGGCCCGCTCTGATGTGTTCCTCACTTATTCGCTCTTATTTCATTCCTGTTTTACCCACATGCTCTTCTGGTTCCGTAGATTCTTGTGCAAGGTTACACCTGAAAAAAGATTTGATAAATATTTCTTCCGAACCCTAGGCTAATTTTGCCAAATTGGTTTTAATTTGTTTAGGCCAAGACTAGACTAAATGTGCGATCCTACACCCAATATACATTGTCACTCATACACGTTCCCTATCTTTGTTGCACTCTCCCAGGTACAGATCGCGTGTGGATGGACGTAAGTAAGGTTCCCGAGATCTACGGGCAAGGTGAATTTCAAACATCAAGGACCAGGGTCTTATTCCATGGAAGTGTGAAAGTGACATGGAAAAGTCACACAGCTACTCTGTTACATTCAGTTGACAGGGAACTGGCAGGATTATCATCTCTCAATCCAGGTAAGAAGACAACTGCGCTCTCCGTCTTCCACAATTTACAGTCCTATAATACAATACATTCCATTGGGAAAAACGTACACTACTCAGTCAGACTATTGCTTACATCCACAATGAACGGAAATATAACATTTGGGGAAAATACATTCAATGTGTGTAATTATGACCATTATCTTCCAATTGCAGTGATGAAACCTTAAAAGAAAGGTTCCGAAAGCTGATTTGTGATTCTGGTGTGTGTGTGTGTGAGAATAATACCTGTGAGAAACCTTGTTTTTGTAGCTAGTGCACCGGTATGGGGGTATGGAATCACACTTGTCCAAACACATTGCATTCCAATCCCCTTTCCTTATTCATAGGTTTAAAAAATGTCAGAGGTCTGCGGCCGCTACGCTGGCCGTCTAATAGTCGGAAATTTGAATAGTCTATTGTGAGCAAAGCGTCTCCTTGACATCCTCTGTTCATCGCATTATCCATTCGGAACCGAACAGCTTCATTAGATTTATGCACATACAGCTTAGAGTACACAGATTTTGTTCCTAAACACATCTATCATGATATTCGTGCTGATTGTCATAATTCACTTGACATTGAACGTTATCAACAGCAAGCAAAATGTGAGCGTATTAGTCATTTTACGTAAAATTTACACAGTATTTTTTTTATATACCCTGTATATTGCATGAAAAGAAAAAGTTCCCCTTCTTTCCGACTGGTGTTTGGTAATCAGTTAGTTAATCTGGCTACCATAGTCGCAAAGCCCTACGGTGGCATAGTCATTGACTGTCGTGGCATGAATCTGCAAATATCCTTGTCCTTGACCGAATTGACCTCATCAAAACCATCGATGCGATCTCAATTGAATATTTCGTGGCAGCGTTCCGTTTCACAATCCTCATCCTCTACATTCAGACCTGAGGTCAGCACACAAATTACAGCACTTTTAAGTAAGAAATCCGATATCGTTCCCACCATGGGAATTGGGAATTTGTATCTCATACGAATATAATTTTCTGAACGAAATGTTGATTGTATCTTTGATCAAATATATATTTTTGCAGCTCATATATTTATTGCAAAATACAAGTATCCTGGAAGAACTTCACGAGACTATGAGATGCGTGATTGCCACTTCCATGAAAATTTTCCATATAGGGTGAAGTGGGGCGAAAGTAAGAATGGGGTAATTGTAACAAGGTTTAGTATTTCATCAAGCACTTTCAATATCGTATCATAATATTGTGTCCATTACAATGCAAATTCCTTCATATCACATATTTTGAGATTCTCTGTGATTGGCTAAGAATGAGTATATTTCAATTGTGCGCACCGTGGTGAGAAAATTAGGCAGCCATTTTTTCTCTTCAGCTGCAATTTCATTTTTCATCCCATTTTTAATCCAAGCCATTGAAGTTAAGAATGATACAAATTCTACCTGATCTTAATATCAACCTCATTGATTTGAAAATTCGAAATTAGGCCTCATCACATCATTTGTTGAGTCCATTTACTTTTGCCCAAGAAAAGTTGAGTCGGAGGCAGTTGTAACAACCTGGCGTGGGGCAAAAGGAATTTCGCACATACAGCATTTTAAGTGCTATTAATATTGTTACAGGAGTCTATTTGTGGAAAAAATATGCATGTCTGAGCATTGTCCATAGGCTTCTTACAGGCTTCAAAATAGGTTATACGTACCAAAGAAAAAGTGAGAGGGTGCGGTAAAACGCTGCTCCAATGGAAATCTTGTAACATCTGCGAATGTCTTTAAGAAATTTGTAATGAAGAGAAAAATTATATGGTGTTCCGAGGGCACCATCCAGGTGTTCCTGTCAAAGCATCGTTCAGGAGTTCAATAAAAGTTTTCAGATTATGATCTTCGTTTAAGGTTCTCTATCTTGATGGGTGTGAAACACATGCATTTTAATGGAGTCCATCATAGGCAATAAGGATTGCCGGTTCCTGAGTCGGTTATCAAGACAGAAATTGATGAGGAAGAAAATAAGAAAGTTCAAGAGATGAATGCAATTGGGGTGGATGAGATAACTTTTACTTCCTCTTTGTATTCCCAAGGAAAGCATATTCCTGGAGGCTTAAAATTCAGCAGGGAATGGCTGCAGCTACTTCAGCATCATACGCTCAATGGCTTCATTTTCAGACCATATAGGCAGAATGTTTCCACAATTCATCAACATAATGCAGAGTGCATTAACAGTCGCTTATTTCGCTCCTCAGTGCTATAAGAATGCACTTGTGCAACAATGTTACTTTTGCCCCATGATATGTTACTTTTATCTCATTTCACGGGGCAAAAGTAACATGAATAAAGGCTTTTAAAAAGGATGTTTCCCAGGGATCCAGATTATATTTAAGTCTAGGAAGTCCTTGAGATCTCTTTACTTGTTTCAAGACCGTAGATGTAAATTATTTTGACAATAAGTTTGCTATTATCTTTTCTATCTTCCTGAAAATTGCATTTATGTGTTTTCAGGTTACTTTTACCCCACCTCACCCTACTTATGAATATATCTGAATAAGAGGGAGTACAGAGGAGGGCCACAAGGAGGTTAAGGAGGTTAGGGGAAGTATCAATATATTCTGAGATCCTCGTCTGGTAGGCATTCAAGGCTATGTAAATAGTGCTATATGGACTGAACGTATGCGCATGCCATATACATGAAGTCAAATAACGAAAAAAGCAAAACAAAAAACAAAACAAAACGAAAATTAAAAAATATATAGCTTCAAGAGGGTTAGGCCTATCCTAAAATTAAGGAACGCTCGACCTCGACACGTGATATCGAAATGGGCGAAATCACCTCTTGATGTCACTAACTATCTTGACTTGACTTGACTTGACTTGCGAGTGGTAAAGTATCAGAACGCATTCAAACCTCCTAATAACCGGATTACTTCCTTACATTTGAATATGTACAGTATTTGATGTTTGGAAGAAAAAAAAAACATTATTCTGTGCAAAATCTCTACTCATTTGGCCAATAAACAATGAAAAACCAATTTTTCATATCAGGAGTCATTTATTACCTGCTATATCATCGAATCGTATTGAAGGATTTGACAACTTGGTTTGGTTAGTATCGAAGGATAAGGCAACCAAGTAGCCAAAGCTCGAATCCATGCATGAAATAGAGATTCCAAAAACCTCCTCAACCCGCATGTAAATAGGATGGACATGTCCTTCCACAAATTTGTGAATCTCCCCTCTCCTACATTTCAAGTATCCTACCGTTTTACCACATAAATCTATTGTCTAACATCGACACTTCATGGGCTGAGAGGAAACTCAGTTCAGTCAGTGTTTCAGAATATAAGAGATCGGCTGAGCGCCCTTTAACCAACCTTTCAACCAACCAACCTTAAACCATTGCTTTTCTGGTGAAAAAGTTCATCCCCAAAATACTTAGGTGTCACATTAGACGGCTGTCTAACGTTCCACAAACTTCTCAAGAACACATTTGCAAAGACCAAGTCTTGCGTGAACCTGGTCCATTACCTGATTGGCACAATTTGGAAGCCGATGCTCTAACTCTGTGGACAGCGACATTGGCTCTTGTCTACTCTACCGCTGAATTCTGCGCCCCAGTATGCGGGTGAAGCTCGCACGTGAAATTGGTTGATACGCAGCTAAACGCTGCAATGAGGATAATTACGGGCACCCTCAAATCAACTTCTCTGCCATGACTCCCAGTGCTGGCCAACATAGCACCAGCCCACCTCCGCTGAGATGTGGCTTATGTCAGAGAGTACCGCAAAGCCCTCGATAACCCAAACCTATCGATCAACCAAGACCTATCCAATTCGCCAACCAACCGGTTGAAATCTAGGAAACCTTTCTGGAACGAAGCAAAGTGAATCCACGAGGAAAACACTTCAACTGAAGATCGCTGGCGAATGGATTGGGGCAGCACAAACTTACAGCACAGGTACATCATCACCAATCCAACAAGAAAACCAACTGGCTTCTTCCTACCAATAAAACTTTGGTCCATCATCATCATAACTATCCATGGGCTCTGCGGACACCTATTCCATGAGTGGAGAATAATAAAATATTCCAAGTGTGTTTGGGGTGCACAGAGCCCAACCATCGAACATATTGTGGGAGCATCCATACGTGACATAAATTACATCCATTCAGCAGCCCCAAAAACCAATCGAGTGTTTAGCTAACTTTGACATTGAACGCTAATTGTTGCTACCCAAAACGCTATACGAAAGAAGAATCTCACTGGCTGTTGCTTTCCATCCTCCAAATATTAGAGTGATCCCAATTCCTCCATCATCCAACGAAACGGGAAATGAACTTCCAGTATTACCACTCTGAAATAAAAAATTGATTATCTTAGTTGTTACGTTGATCTGGAAATTCTCTGCAGCTTCCCATGTTCCTGAAGTAAATTGCATTCGTTCGTTGTCACCTCCTGGATAATTTTTCACACCTTGGAATCGCCCGGATTTATCACATGATGTATTTTGCTTTTCTCCCTAGGAGAGAGCATACCGTCCAGCATTCCTAGATCACTTCGAAGTTTCGGTGAGAAAGAAAAATCTTGTTCACTTGCATTTCTAGGCCAGATCTTGTTTAATTAAGTATTTATTACAATTCCAGACAAGTTTAAACAGGACGAGATTAGTCAACTCCTGAGAATTTTTGGTAAGAATGACGAGCTCCACACTCTCCGTATATATGCCACACCCAATGTCAAAACTGGTAATTTTACACACAGAAAAATTGGAACCGCACGAGATACATGAACTCCTGGAGAAGTTGGGTGAGAAACAACGTCTTGTTCCCCCTGGATCTGTTCAGACTGCCCTTTTAAGTGATGAAAATATGATTTAATTCCAGACAAGATGGAACGGGTTGAGCGACTCAACATTATTAATATTCTTGATGAGAACGACCAGCTCTTCCCTCTTCATCTCCATGCACCATCATCTGTCATACTCAAAGAATGTTTGGGTGAGAGACAGAGTTCCCCTTTCTGCATATACTTGTCAAACCCGATGTGAAAAAAATGTTTCCCTTTCAGACGACCTGGGAATAAGAGAGATGCATAAACTCCTAGATATATTCGGTGAGAATGATAAGTTCCCTCTCGAACATCTCCAACTCCTAACATACCTGAAAGTGCTATTTTTCTTTGCTAGACAAACTTGGGAGTGACCAAACTCATGAACTTCAAGAAAGCTGTAGTGAGAACAACGGGCTCTTCCTTCTGCATTTCCAAGGCCCACCCGATGTGATGCAATTTTTTCCCATTTTCAGATATATTGGGATCTGATGAAGAAATATATCGCGTTATAACGAGTTTCCGTGAGAAGGACGAGCTCTTCGCTATGCACCTAGTATATGTTGCCTCTCGCTATCCGATGACATATATTTTTTTCCCTTACAGAAAAACTGGAAAGGAAAGAAAATACTTATCTCAAGAATAGTTACGGTAAGAATTACGAGCCCTTCCCTGGGGAAATTCATGTTCATCACTGTGATGAACATGATGCAATATTATTTCCCTTCCAGGCAAACTACGACAGAGGAAAATGCGGCAACTTATCAATTGCTTTCGTGAGAAAGATGATCTCTCCCTTCTCTATCTGCAGGCCTCATCTGATATGGTATTTGTGATTATTTTTCAGACAAACTGAAACTAGATGAAATACGTCAATTCCTAGGAAATATTGGTGAGAAAAATAGGATTCCCATCTGATGCATGTCATCCCTATTGTGATAAAGTATGTTTACCTTTCCAGACAAACTGGAATCATACGAGGCAGGACTCCTGCAAAGTCTACGTGAGGATTACGAGGTCATCCCTCTCATATTGGCTAAAATAGTATAAAATGTTTGCTTATAATTTTTCAGAGAAATTGGGATCGCAAGAGAGACATCATCTGCTCGAATTTCTTGGTAAGGACGATGATCTCTCCTTCTGCGTTTCCATGTCGCACCCGATGCGAGGTAATTTGTTCGCATTCCAGACAGACTGGAGCCGGAAGAGAGACATCAACTGCTTGAAGATTCCAGTGGGAAACATAATTGTATTTTCTCCGTATCATCATGTACCAAAAAACGAGGCAATATTTGTTTTCCTTTCCAGGCAAATTGGGGTATTTAGAGACCCAAAATTACTCTAAAAACTTCGGTGAGAATGAAGAACTCTCCCTTCCCTATCCCCATTATGCCTGCAGGTCTCATTTAATGGCTCTTTTAACAAATTAGCGAAATTATTGCAAATATAAATGATTACAATGTAGTGATAATTGCATTTAATTACAGTTAATTCCAGAAGAAACCAAACGAAATGTAGATTGTGTCTGATAACTATATCTAATGCGAAAGATTGTAAACAGATCACGCTTGGACATTACGAGGATATCCCTCTCCTTAACTCAAATTGTAGAAGTTATTTCTTCATTTCAGAGAAACTGGGACCGAAAGAAATTCAGAAACTCCTTTGGAATTTTGGTATGCGTCAGGAGTTAATCCTCTATAATATCTGAATGATCCCCTCCAGGTGTGACGAGTCATATTTTCCCTTCCAGGCCAACTGACATCGGATGAGAGACGGATTCTCCTAGAAAATTTTGGTGAGAATGATGTGGTCCTCAACTTTGCTTTCCATTTCCGACCTGATGTTTCAGCATACAACATTTTTTGTGCTTCAGATAAACTGGGACTGTATGAAAAAGAACAACTTCTACAAAAATTTGGCAAGAAAGACTACCTATCCTATCGGGAGATGCACATTTGACAATGCTTCAATATTGATTCGTATTACTTCCAGATGAACTCGGACAGGACGAGAGACAACAAGTACTCCAAAGCTTTGGTTAGCTCAAGAACCTGCTCTCTTAGCATTTCAATTCTCCCCCTTTTATGGTTGAATATTTTTTCTTCCCTTCCAGATAAATTGGGACTGAGCAATAAGCGTCATTTCCTAGGAAGCTCTTGTGAGGCGGACAAACTCCCCCATTTTGCGCCTCCATGACGCACATGATGCAATAACGATTTTTCTCCCTATCTAGGCAAGTTGGGACCGGAGGAGAGACGGCAGCTCCAGGAAACTTTCGGTAATCACTTGCTGCGTTTGTCACCATTTCTTCTCTTTCCATCTTCATGTGCTGATTTTTTCCTGTCTAGACAATCTGGGATATTTTGATACCTACTGGCTCTTGAGGAAATTAGGTAAGCTTTCTTCTTTGTATCTGCATAGCCCGCCTAAAGTAATGCAATGTATTCCACTTTTAGACAGACTGGGACACGACAAAAGATCCCAACTACTAGGAAGTTTGGGTGAGAATAAATACATATTCCCTTTGAATGACGTGACCCTTCCTAACGCCATGTATGATATTTACTTTTCAGACAAACTGGGACTGAACCAGAGCTGTCAATTACTCGAAAGATTCAGTAAGAAAAACACTGTCTTTCCACATTGCATCTTCTTGCATCGTCAGTACTTGTGTAATGTGCTTTACTTCCAGTCAAACTAAGACTGGAGGATATGAATAAACACGTAGAATAGTACAGAGGTTGTTCAGAAAGTTTTACAACTGATAAACAATGGTTTTTTTAAGGCAATTTTTTAAACGCTCAGGCCCATGCCATTTCAATGCACACACTTCCTTGAACAAAACAGGAACATGCATAGCTAGAGGCTTCATTCAGGGAATGACGAATTTTCTAATAGAAAGAGTTTGAAAAAGGGACTTCATTAGAGTCCTTGAACCAGAATACTGATATGAATATGCATGTGAAACTCCCCATGTGTACAAATGTGTATTGCGTTAAGACACTGAAGTAATGAGCATATGTGTCTGGTACTACATGCCTTGGAGATTTTGTGTGACTACAAGAATTGTGTGACTACCATAGGCAGTAATTAAATTCATAATAGGAACGCTAATATTCACTGAAACAACACTATTTTCAGAGTGCGAGCGCCCCGAGAATTGTCAAACCCATTCACTTAGGAGTTTGACTGCATCATTAAGCCTGGGTGAGCTTCGAAAGCGGATGCTTTAAATGCTTCTTAATTTGTAGCTTATTTGTCCTTCGGCCAAACAAACTCGCTAGTAAGGAGATGAAACAAGTGAGAGACAATGCCCCTTATAGTATCAGTCACACCGTGGTTCCACTCTTTTAAGTTTGGGACGGATTATTGAATACTAAATGGTACTCAACCACCTGTTTGCCTGCGATCTTAGAAGCTGTGCAACATCAACGTCCAAAACGGGTGCTTCGGGGCCTGTTGTTGCACCGCGCACACAGCAAAAAAATACCTTTAACTTCCTCGTCAGTCAACACGTCCAAAATTGGTCACAACCTCTTTTTTCACTAGATTTGCCCCCTCGTGACATTTTCTCGTTTCCTAACTTCGTGATCGCTGATGCGAGAGCTCAGAAACGCTTTTGGTTTACCGGGACTACTTTGGCTGACTTTGTCGAAGAGGATTAGCGTAGCCGCTTTGATTCTTGTTTCGACAAATGCAAATGTGCGTGAACAAGGTGCTTATTTAGAGAAGCAGAGAACATTTCGAGCTAAATTCTTCTCAAGTGGGTGAGCAACTACAAACTTTCAGAGTGACCCTCGTATGCATTCTTTATCTCTGCTTAAGGGTTGTGAAGTTCGGCAGCCTTGAGGAAAGGCTTTCAGCAACTGCAAACTGGTACGCAGACATATGCCTAGCTGCCTTGCTTAGAGTTCCGAGAAAACGGCAACCAAAGATAGAACATATTGGAACCCTCTTTCACAATGACAATGGCATGCACATGGGGCCATTAGATCACTATAGTTTTTGAGGGAACCTGGGGTACAGACATGAGCTCATCCCTAGTGTAATTTACTAGTACAGTGGTACCTCGCATAACGAGCGCAATTCGTTCCAGCGGTGCGTTCGTTATGCGAGGTGTTCGTTATGCGAAACACGATTTCCCATAGACTTCTATGGGAAATCATGTAATCCGTTCCACGTCGCCGCGAAACAAATGTTTCACTTTCACTCGCGAACACCTCGCATAACGAACGCACCGCTGGAACGAATTGCGTTCGTTATGCGAGGTAACACTGTATATCTATGTCCTTGCGACTACTAGCTTCCTCCTAAAAAGGATGAGCTTCTTGGGAAGTATATTTGCGTCCAAATAGTACCAGGAAGTAATGAACCTGGAGTTATCAACCTTTGCCACGGAAGCCTTCAACAACATACTTTAAAAGCTGGTTTCAAAGAAAGAAATCATGCCTAAAAGCTGCGTGCAGACGTTTCGAGAAATAGCATAATTTTACAAATACATGAGTTTCATTATGTAAGGATGGCAATTGCAAATCTTTCGAAACACTTGTAGGGTGAGAATGATCACCTCCCCATGCACCTCCATGCCTAACTTAATGTTATACAATGTGTATTTCACTTTCAGGGGAATTGGAATCGGATGAGAGATTTTATGAGCGAGATGATTTTGGTAGGAAAGACTACTTCTCCTTATCGCATCTCCCTGTTTCAGGCGATGTTAGTATGTCCCTTTCTTTCCTTCCAGACAAACAGGAGGTGGTTCGTGAACTTATAGAAAGTATTGGTAAGGATGAACCTACCCCTGCATCTCCATTCCTCGTCTGATATTACGAAATAATTGTATTCATTCCAGACCTGCTGGAAAATGACGAGACTCGTCAACTCCTAGGTTACTTCTGTGAGAACGACAATCTCTCCTCTTTTCATATACATGTCTCACCTGATGTGATTAAGCATTTATATTCCTTCTAGACAAACTGGACAAGTATGCGAGAGATCAACTCCAAAAATGCTTCGGTAAGAACATAGAGCTCTCTCCCTTGCATCTCCACGCTCCACATCTTGTGATGACCTTTTTTTCCCTTACCAGTCAAACTTGGAACGGACATGAGACGTCAGCTCTTCCGTAGTTTCGGTGAGGACGACCGCCTCTACCCTCCGGAACCCTCATGTCCCACCCGACCCATTAAATTATTTAATATAAACCTAAAATGAAATACAGTTTTTCCTGACGGATTTTGGCAAAAGTCCATTCAAATTCGGCATTCGCTATTTCAATTTCGGCAGCGCAAGGGAATCTCTTCTTTTTGGGAATTAAGAAGTATGAGGAATAGGGAAGGACAGGGCACAAACGCAAGGAATATTTTTTGGCGAATAATAATTATTTCATTATGCAAAGGAAAACACATGAACCTTGACACTGATTCTATTCATTGATATGTTCTCTCCTTAGGCATCCGATCAAGTATGTTTGTGCATGGCGAAACCACGCAAAGCACTTCTGATGGGTGATTTACGCATGGTTCTTGCAGATTCAGGAAAGGTGAATATGCCGGCAGAAACTTCACGTGAACGTTAGGAAAGTCATCTGGAACCGAAGCTCGTCTGTGGGGTCTACCACTATCTAAGATGGCAAACTGGAACTGAATATTCGAAATCGGCTGCTCCTTGCTGAGTCCTTCGCGTAGGAAGCGTTCATGTTCGTTTCCATACTTGGAATAATCTTTTATTGCAAAGGAACAAGAGGGACGCGTCACATCGTTGACCTTCCAGGAATTGTTTGAGGAGCTCCTGAGACATTTATGCATGATCTCGTTATCAGATCAACCAGTTTATGTTATCATGGATAGTGCTAGATCCTACAAACCAGCCTCGGTCCTAACGTTCGCATGAAGTTTCTGCCTGCATACTCTCGTTTCTTGATTCCGACAGAATTTGTTCACTCTGCATTTAAGGCAGCTGTCAAACGTGAGGTGTACCTTCCTGAAACACTGTTAGAACTTCCACGACAAAGACCAGAACAAAACTTGCAGCAAAGTCGGACAAAAAAATTGCTCGAAATGAGAGAGGCATCAGTTCGGCAAGTAGAAGAAAATATAAGTGCTTTGCGTGGTTTTGACTTGCACTAACATTCTCAATAAGACGCCAAAAGAAGAGAACATATCGCTCGATAGAATCAGTGTCAATGTCCGTGTGTTTTCTTTGCATGATAAAGTAACGATTATTCCCAGAAAATATCCTTTGTGTTTGTGCCCTCTCCTTCCCTATTCCTCATTCCTATGTTAATTACCAGGAACCCCATATTCCCTTGCGCTGCCGAAATTGAAACGACGAATGCCGAAATCGTAAGTCACCTGCCGAAATTGAATGGGATAACCAGGATGAGAGAGGAGCAATTCCGAATTTGAATAAACTTCTGCCGAAATTTGAAAGGAAAACCTATATGGTCGGGAGTAGGTGTTTCCTCTCTTTCACATCTTCAACCCGTCAGCCTAGTCAGAATCAGAGACTATTCCGCGATTAGGTGCAGTCATATATGACTATAAGTCAAATCAGGACCTCTACATGAAATTCATATAGTAAATATATAGTCTATATAGTAAATGTATAAAGGCCCTAGAGGTATGAATGCGAATCATGCATTGCGGTTCATGTAACTCATTCAGAAATAGTACATAGTTGTGGAACCCCTATTTCCTCTCCTCCTTGCGCATTCTATCACCTTCCACCACACAATATACGAGGCTTGTATTAAAAGTCATGCGTGTTCCGCAATAAAAATTTGCATATTGCGCGCACGCGAAAAATTCCTACAAATTCTGAAAGCCCCATCAAAGAGGAACGCAACGATGTATAACATAGGCTGGTTGCTAATATGCAAATGTAACAGTCGTGGGAGAAACAGAGGCAGGTAGCGGCAGTTTCCCGATGAGTACTTTTAAAAGGAAA